AACATCTCAGGAGAGGACATGGAGGCACCTTCACCCCGTCGCCTGGTCACCTGGTCACCAAGGTTTGCCCAGGAAAATCGCCACAGCAACAGACTTCTGAATCTCATCCTCCGGTTTTAGAGGAGTCCCCTGACCCCCACCCAAGGCCCACTCCAAGCCTTGAACTGACACTGTAGGCTGTCAGGACCCCCTGCCTTGACCACCCTCATCTGACCACTGCAGTGGCCCTGCCACTCTGCATCCTCTCTCTTCCTGTCCCTGGGCTCAGCATCCTGTGACCCCACAGCTGTCTTTACTGTTTCTTGGTCTCTCTGTGACCTATTTGTACATCCTTGTGACGTGTGACGTGTGACTTGAGTGTGTGGATGTGGAATTAAGACCAGAATGGAAGAAGGTGTGATTGCCCAGCTGTAACCACAAATGAGCCAAAATAAATAAATTCTGACTCTGGGAAAGATGCAGACGTGTTTGGTCAATGGCTCATCCAAGACAGTCTCCATATCTCTACGGGTCTCAGTCCCCCAGGGGTTTCCATCTTTCTAAAGGTTTCTATCCCCCTCTAGAGGCCTGTCTCCCCAGGGGTCACTGGCACCCTGGACACCAGGAAGACACCCCTCGGGGGAGGAAAGTGACAGCAGCAGGGCCCACACCTGGGATTCCATGCAGGGAGCCTAGAGGGTCGCCCTCTCCTGAGCACCTGCCAGCCTCAGGCCAGCCGAGCCTCGCCTCCTCTCCAGGCACCCATGGCCGCACCAGCAGGTTCTGCTGAGCAGCAGCCTCCTGAGACAATCCCTGCTGGGGTCCAGGCAGCCCTCCCCCATGCCCCCCTGGGGACCGGCCAGGTTGTCGCTGGCTGCTGCTCCCTCAATCATGGCCACCTCCAGGTTCCCTTCTGCCCTTTGAGCCTACCACACCCTAAACTGAATCTTTAAAACAACTGTCCCCTTTCTTGACAGTGTGCGGAGAAGGGCTCATCTCCCGCCCTGTCTCCCACGGTCTCCAGTGTGGTCCAACTCATCCGGTTCCACTTGTCCTCGGTGAAGAAGGCCAGAGGATGTTCCACGGGACGTTGAGACCTCGGCATGCCCAGGAGCCCAGGTGTGTGGTTGCTTCACCACCTTTGGAGACTGTAGCGAGCCAACAGTGGCCTGCTGCAGGCCAGGAGGACATGGATGAAGCCACACCCTACTGGACCTGCAGCTGGGGCCATGTCCTGTGTCTCAGTGACCACATTCCTGAAGAGCTGCCCACCTGCGCAGGTAGGTCAGATAGGGATGTGGGAAGCATCTCAGCCCAGCACCATTCATGCAACACCAGCATTTTATTGTGGGGAATTTTGGTCACAGTGATGAAGAACTGACCGACCCAAGAAAGAACTGGGTCTTCCTTTTCCCACTGGCAGGTGGCTGGAGGTGACCTGGGGCCTGCCCAGAGGACACAGCAGCAATTGGAATTTCACTCCTCTTCAGCAGGAAGCCCATCTAACCAGGTTGCTCTGCTAACACTGCCTTACGTCTTCCCCACCCCCCAAATTCTTACAGGAAAACCCTAAGCCCAATATTAAGAACGGGGCCTTCCAAGAGGTAATTAGGTTAATGAAGTTCTATGGCTGGCAGCCTGACTAGATAGGGCCCTGTGCCCATGAAGGACCCCAGTGCTCCTGCCCTCCACCTGAGCACACAGTGACAGGGTGGCTGTCTGCGGCCCAAGGGAAGAGCCCACAGACACAACCTGGCTGGCACCTTGGTCTTGGACTTCCGACCTTTAGAACTGGAGATTAACTCCGTTAAGCCTCCCGTCTGAGGTACGTTGTGGTGCCAGCTCCCCCAGGGCTCCCGACACCTATGCTGTCCTGGAGAGCAAGCCTCCTGCTCCAGGAGGCCACAGCCTCCCTCGCACACCACCCACCCGTGCCGGCCATTTATGCACCTCCCCCCTGGGAGGCGGGGACCCACTTCAACGGCTTCCACACAGCAGGCCCGGATTGACACCAACCTTCCCAAGCACCCAACCCAGGTGAGGCCCAGGGTCCCAGCCAGGCCACAGACCACGAAGTTCCCGACAACTCTCCTCCAGCACTCGGCACAGCCCTTCAGAGTTGGTGACTATGCCCGGCGCAAATCAGGAACGTAACAACTGTTTCTCAAAAGGATCCACCTGTAAGCCTTTGTTCCAAAAAATACTTTATTAAACAATATATCCATAATCTATAACATGATCCAAAAATACAGATATGCATCTTTACATTATTTAATAAAAAGATTTACAATAGCATCTTTCCTTTACAAAGGGGACATAGATAATAATTCCTTGAAAATAAAAAGTGACATTCATGTTAAAGCTGGATGAAACATGGTGGAGCAACCAAAGAACAGCCAGGGAAAGGCTCTGCACACCTAGGACGACACTTTCCCACTGCTCCCCTGCTTTGAAATTCCTCTCAACGCAGTTGGCGGAGGCCCAGGGTTGCTCTCTTGAGCATCTGGGAAAACCTTAAGTTTTCAGTGCCCAGAACAAACATCCCTCACGCTATTTCGAATTACAGCCACAGCCCCCAGTGCTACGAGGGTAACCTGGGCCATGCTCTGCCTGGGAAGCCGTGCCCTGGTTGGTGTTATTGCTCAAAGTGGTCCCTGCCTGGGTTCAGAGACAGGCCAGGCCCTGGCTGCTCCAGCAGGCCTGCCTGATACAGCCTCCCAAGTCCCTGCCTGCAGTCCCAACCTGCCCAGGGGAAGGGACTGGGGGCAACCAGCTGCTGGTGGTGTCATCCAGCCCATGTCCTTGTCTAAGCCACTCCAGACCAGCACACCTGCAGGTGTAGGGTGCTTACCAGCCTCTCCCTGCACACCCAGCAGGCCGTCTTTCTGGGATCCCCGATGGACACAGCACAGAGGCAGCCAGACCCCGTGCCCTCGCCCACAGGGACTCGCAGCACGGAGGACACACACCCTCGTGGGGGGACACTGCCAGTAACCCAGGGCTGGCAGATGCCCTCAGTGCACCAGGTAGGCCGACTCTGCGGCCACCTGCAGGGCTCCAGGTGAAGGCAGCCAGGCCTCGGAAGCAGTGTCTGGGGCCAAGTTCCTTTCCAGCCAACCACCCAGACAGGAGCACCAGCGGGACAAAAGCCCATCAGGGCCCAGACAACACCCCCAAAGAATTCTGCATGCACTTCCTGTTGTTTCTCCCAAAGCTATATGCATATTATTTTTGGTGATATTATTTTAACTGGCAAAAGTAAACATGAAAAAACAAAAACTTAAAAAAAAAAAAAAACCAAACCCACAGAGAGGGACACACAGTGGCAGGGGAGTCCTCACCTCCAGGTGCCAGAACAGAACACTGACCAGCCTGGGCCCGCCACATGCCACACACCTACTCCCCAGGGAGGATGTGAGGACGTGGGACGGGAGCAGCCGGCCCGAGGTAGGGTCGGCAGCCTCCGCTGAAGATTCCTGTCCTTGAAAACAATGGTAACAGCAGCACGTGAGGCCCTGGGTGAGCCAGCACCCAGGAGGAGGAAGAGCAGAGAAGTTTCCCACAATTTATTCTCCGCATCCTTAAATACCTGTGTCTACCACAACCATGGAATGGAAGCACACGTCCCGTGTCACAGCTGTGCGGAGACTAAGCGGGCCTCCACCCTGTGGCTTCTGAGCGCAGGACGGCCAGGATTCAGGAAGCTTCTGGCCTGGGGACCTGACAGGGATGGATGGCCAGCCCTCCACCCTCACCCACCTGGCACCTGACTCTGCAAATGGCCAGCACCGGCCACTCACGCCGTGGGCACAGGAGCAGGCCCTCCCCATGTGCCCTGAAGGCAGGCCACTAGGAGCAAGCTGCCAGACTGAGCTGTGGGAACCACAGAGGCCTGCATTCCACATGCACGTGAGCCGAGGACACAGGCTGCCTGGAGCCTGCCCGGTGCCATCCTGCTGGATTCCTCCCCTCAGTGAAACCCCAGGGAGGGGTACAAAGGGCCAGTGTGGCTCAGTGGTAGTGCCCCCCCGGCACACTCAGGGCCACAGCACTGACAGGAAAATACAAACACGGCCAGCAGAGGGGACAAGCAGGTGGCCCCAGTGACTTCCATGGACAGACGAGGCCCTCCTTGGGCTGCCTCCCGCCCACCCTGGGTTCTTCCTCTGGTGGGAGAACAGGAGCAGCCTCTGGGTTCTCAGCAAACCCTGGACTCTGGTGTACGTGCCAGAGGCTTTGCAGCTAAGGAGGCCCCTGGAAGCCGCCCCGAGATCCCGGCATGGACGTCCCGGCATGGACGTCCCCAGACGCTGCAGTGCTGGTGTGCGAGTGCCGACCACACTGGCTCCATCGTAGCCCTGCTGCTGGGCACAGCAGACTCACAGACGGTGCACCACCAAAGCCCGAGGTGTGCAGCACGGGTCCCCAGCAGCTCCTGGCAGACGACTCTGCAGACAGACACAGGTCTTGGTGCTCTCACAACAACTTCATCTTCACAGTAAAAAGTCAGAGGCCCCAGAGCAGCGGAACCCAGGCTGGGGCCAAGGCAGGTGCAGCCACTCCAGAGGCGAATCCCCGGGAGGACCAGACCCGCGTCCAGACTGAAAAGGCAGTGCAGAGACAGAGGCGTGGTCTGAGGCCGGAGCTCCTGGGCAGAGCTCCGGCACCAGATCCACAGGAGGTGTCCAGCCCAGTCCATGGTCCCTGGAGTCAGGTCCGGCACCCAGCCATACTGCGCTCTCAGAGAGTCAGATGTGCTTATGGTAACTCTGGTGGCAAAGTGGTGGCAGTGTACCAGGTAAAACGTCCCCCCCACACTGAGCACTTGGCCTGGCAGCCCAAGTTCACCAACACCCACCCCAGGACCCTGGGCTGGCTCAGTGGCCGCCACGCTCAGCTCAGGGTCTGAAGAAAGTCACTGTGGCAGGTCCTGTGAGATTGCTCCTCTGTGCAAACAGGGCCTGGTGGTTTCTCGCTTAAGAAAGATCCAGAATTACAACTGGCCATTGAGTTATTAAATATCAGTTAAATAAGGTAGTTTTAAAATCAAAAACGTATTGCGACGTGGACGAAAGAGCCTGTGGACTCATCTCCCCAGGAATACAGCCTTTCCTCACTTCTTCTTCCTCTTGTCCTGAACGCACCGTGGACAGAACCTGCGGCAAGAAGGGCACATGGATCAGCCCTTGGGTCACTTCCGCCAATGCACAGGGCACCCAGCCCACCCCCACACCTCCCTGGGCAGACCAGACACAGCAGGCAGCTTCCCTCGGGGAAAAGCTACCACAGGTGCTTGAAGTGGATGGTGCACATCAGCAGTGGCCACCCGGCCCTGGTCACTGGCAGGGCTGTGTGCCCACCCTGGAGATGACACCCAGTCAGGCAGGGGAGCACATGTGGGTGTGGAGTGGGTGCAGGCCTGTCAGGTGGACCCAGGCTTGGAACCCGCACTACCCACAGGGCCCCTGTGCTCTGAATCCTCAGACTCTCCTGGACCTCCTGGATCTGGTGGCCACTCATGACGTCAGGAGGCTCCTCACACAGCCCCTTTATACCTCCTACAGGCTGTGGGCCTCCACTCTCAGAGGCTCCGAGCTCCAGCAGTCAGGAACACAGGCCTGCCCAGCAGCCACCAGCTTCACACCTCACCCAACTAGCTGCACACCAAGATCTGAAAGACCAGGAAGAGGGCACTGTGCCCACCCCAGTCCTGCCTGGAGGCACAGCAATGGACAACCACCAGCTCCCAGGCCTGCTCACACAGGTGGGTAGCAGTCCCACCTGCAATTATGCAGACACAAACTTGCTTACACCAGGCCCCTTCTTCAGCCCAAGACCACCATTCTACCCGGTGGGCACAGCCAGGTACCTGCCACGCCACCCCTAGGCAGACACAGTGTGCACCCCGGAAAACCACACACACTTGACACCCAAGCACGCTCTGTGGGAGCATCCATCTATGCACACACCAGCAGATCACTGTGACCAGCCCTGGGGCTGAGGCAAGATTACCACAACTGCACTGAAGACCACGCACTTCACACAAGTGGACAAAACCAAGTTTTGCTGTGTTGTCTTTGGTTCTGGGGATTGAACCTGGGTACGTGCCACCAAAACCAAGCTGCATCCCAGTCCTCCCTGTGTATCCATGTACCCATTTTCATGTTACTAGGCATTGAACCCAGGGGTGCTCTTGCATCAAGCTGCATCCTTAATCCTTTTTTATTTTTATTTTTTGAGACAGGGCCTAAATTGCTGAGGCTGGTCTCGAACTTACCATCCTCCTGCCTCAGCCTCCCCAGTTGCTGGGATGAAAGGCATTCACTACAGTGCCTAACTAAAACCAAAACTTTCTAAAATAAAATCTTGGATGGTTGCAATGGTGCACACCTGTAATCCCAGTGGCTCAGGAGGCTGAGGCAGGAGGATCTCAGCAACAGTGAGGTGAGTCACTGTCTCTATTAAATAAAGTACAAAATAGGGATGGGGATGTGGCTAAGTGGTCAGGTGCCCACCCAGTTCAATCCCCAGTATCTGTCCCCAAAATAAACAAACAAATAAATAAAATGAAGTCTTAGGAACAACAGCTGAACAGTTGCCGCTACTGAGTACAGGACCACATATGCGCGGGAACGTGTGCGGGAACCTCCTAAGCCACTTGTCCATCAGACAGAGCCCTTCTGCAGGGACCCTGGCTTATGCTCCACCTGCTCCAGAATGCCCCGGGCACAAGAACAGCACCTTCACTCCAGATTTTCACCACCAGCGCTGGGTGCAGGGGCCACACCTGCCTCGCATGCATCAGGCCCTGGGCTCTATCCCCAGCACCACAAAGCCACCGAAACACAAAGTGGACCTCCACCTCAGGAGGAGCCAGAACAGCTGTTCTTCAGCAGGTGACAGCAGCATCTCTCTGCAAGCTCGGCCCCCACCCTGGCCAGCCCAGTGACGGCAACACCAGGACGGCAGCCACACCCAGAGCACCCTCGCGCCTGCGGGAACCCACAGCAGGGACACGCACCACCTCCACCTGGGGAGGACCCTAGCCTAAAAACCCAAAGAATGAGTAAGCTCTTGAAGGAAGAAAGGCAGTGAACAGAACCACCATGCTTCAGGCACAGGACCAGTGGAAGCAACACCTAAGAAGGAGACACTCCTATGGAGCAGCAGCCATCACACCCAGCACCCGCCCTCCTTCATCCACACGGCCACACCACCATCCACAGGGCGGAGAGACAGCACTCTTCCATACCCGGAGACGACCCACCACCTCAAACTCTGCTGTGCATCCTGCTGACAATGAACCAAACCCAACGTGTTTTGTTTGTTTGCTTGTTTTCATAGTTGTAGATGGATAGCATACCTTTATTTTATTTGCTTATTTTTATGCAGTGCTAAGAATCGAACCCCATGCCTCACACATGCTAGGCAAGTGCTCTGCCACTGAGCTACAACTCTAGCCCCAAATCTAATTTTTTAGAAAGAGTCTGCTTAATCCCCAAATCTGGCAGTCTGGAGCATCCACCTAGGCAGCAGAACCCCAGAGTGAGCTTCAAACTCCAGAAGCCCACAGCATCACAAGATGACTTTGTACCACAGGGGTCCAGGGACAGACTGCAAGCTCAGCCCACAGGGGCAACAGAGAGCCCAGGCTGGGGCTGGAGCAGATCAGGGGTGCCATGCTCATACAGCATGCACCCACATGGACAAACTGGCCCAGCGGGCAGTGCCCCAGGACCCCCCGCCCAGCACCCAGAGCCTCACCATCTCGTAGGTCTGCATGGCCAGCTGCACCTTGTCATCGCTATACTCCTTGCACTTGCTGTAGGCGCTCTGGATCTTCTGCAGGTGCGCCACACGCTGGTCTGGGGAAAGGGTCTTCACTGTGGAGATATACTCTGCAGCCAAGAGGTCGATTTCTGCTTTTTTATCTGGTGGAAGATGCACCACATGTCACCAGGCTAAAAGCAGCATGACAAGGCCAAGTGGTGGCAAGAGCTGGCCCAACAAGAACCAAGCCCTGCCTGGAACATGACCACCACTGCCCACAAAGCAGCTGTGTTCCAGGGGTGTGCGCTTCATGGCATGCACTTGTGAGCTCTGGGACTCTCTAGCACTCTGACTGGTCAGGGGTCCAAGGTGCACACTAAATGTTAATTTTGTGTGTAGACTAGGTCTCATCCCCAAAATAGTTCATTACACATATGCAAATATTGCAATTGGAAAACATCAAAAATCTCAAACACTTCTTTTGGATAAGGGATACTCAACCTACGTGTACAATTTGGAAGTAGGAAATTTTTAAAAGAAAAGAAAAAAAGCAAGAAGTGCTGTGACTGAAAATGATGATGGCTAAGATGTCACTCACATGGGATGCAGTTCAGAGGTGGAGCACCTATCTGGCATAAGCAAGGCCCTAGGTTCCATCCCCAGCACTCCCCCACTCAGCACATGTACACATGCATGTGTAAACACACAGATGTGACATGAAAACGTGTAAAACTCCAAGAAGCTACAACTGACTTTAACAGTACCAGCGCTCTCTCAAAGACACTAGTGATTCAGCTCCCTGGCTGCCCTCCAATCCCCCACTGCCTCCTCTTCTGGCTTTGGGAGCTGCTGGCTGGAGTCAGCACCCAGCTCTGCTAAACCCACCTTCTGTCCTCTGGTCCAGCTCTCGCATCAGCTGGAAGTTCCTCTGAAGTTCACAGGGAAGGTTCTCAATGCCTGAAACAAACATGGAGCCGTGTACCTCCCAGGAGGGCAAGGTCTGCCACCTAGCCTTTCTTGGGTGTCTGTAACAATGTGCTCACTGGCTTCTGTCTCTGCTCATGTCTGAGAGCAGAGGGATTAAAACCTCCTTCTAGGGGCTGGGGATGTGGCTCAAGCGGTAACACGCTCGCCTGGCACGCGCAGGGCGCTGGATTCGATCCTCAGCACCACATAAAAATTAAAAAATAAAGATGTGTCCACCAAAAAAACTGAAAGATAAACATTAAAAAAAAAAAAAAAAACTTCCTTCTAGAGGTGGGTCCCTGTACTGGCTGGCTTGAAAAGCCACCAAAGCTGGAGAAGCTAGCAGGGAATGCCAGCTAGCCAGCAGAGGCAGGGAGACAGCCACAGCTCCTCCCAGGAGCCCCACCCACTCCTCAACTCAGACCACCCCCCTCAGTGAACTCTGACCTCCAAAGCCAGAACCCCATCCTCCTTGATCTCTCCCTTGCCCTGTAGTGCAATGCACCAGGCACTGGACACAAGGCAAGCATGTTCTCTCATCCCTGCCCAGCACAGCAGCCACTGGCTACGGACAGCTGAGCACTGGAAATGCAGCCCATGTGACAGATAGCCCCTGCAGCCAGCAGTGACCCTGTGAGACAGCTGGAGAGAACACCAACCTGCTTTCCTGTCTGCATTGCACCTCTAGACCAAGGGGACACTCCCCCAGCAGATGTCCACGTTGGCTCCCTCTTCTGTTCTACCCCAAGGCAATACTTTTTAGCCTAAATCCAATCTTTCAAATCTGATGTCAGGCACTGTGGCTTCCTCAATTGGCCCAGGGCACAATTCACAGCAGCCTCTGGCTTCCCATACTCTCCCCTGGCCCTCTCCAATCTGCCCAAGGGACAGCACCCGCAGCACCTCTCCTGTCGTTCCTTTGTGTCTCGTAATATTCTGTTAACTTTTAAACCACCTGTGATACCTGCTAGAGAGCTGCAGGGAAACGGGAGTCCCGCTCCCGACCTGCACCCAGCAGGTGCTCTGGGGGTAGCACAGGAAAAACCTCATTTTAAACTAGCCTCAGGAGGCCCCCTGGTGGGCACTGGAACAGGGACGGCCCCGCTCCTCTGGCAAAGGGTGGAACCGGGCGTCCCTTGAGGAAGGGATGGATCCCACGCCCCGCTGGGGCCTCATTTACTCCTCTGTGCAATGAGGGAAATAATCACTCTCCCGCTCTCAGGGGACCGACCACCTGTAAACTGCGCGGGCCTGCCTCGGACGTCAACCCACTCAGCAGGAC